TCTGAACCACACACAGAAACACACACTGAACACATTAAGCCTGTTGGCCAGTTGCAGAATATAACGTTGGCAAATATGTCTCTACTGTTTTTACTGTGGCAGTTTTTGTGTTTTGTGTGTGTTTGCGTGAGACAGAAGTAAAACAAATTTACTTCCAGACCACTGAGGCTCACACACTTTGCTGTTAGCGAACTCTCCCCATTCTTCTCTCTTCTCATTTCCTCCATAACAAACTGTCTCAACAATATGATGCACGCTACATATCTGATGCTTGTTGTACTACAAGAAAGAGATGAAGAGAGGGAGATAGATAGACTCAGCTGAAAGGTTAAAGCAGGCCTCTCTCTCTCTCTCTCTCTCTCTCTCTCTCTCTCTCTGTTACTACGCAGACTAGCGAGTTAGAGCAGTCCCCCGCTGCCACAGGCCATACTCTCTCCAATTCAAATTCAAAGTCAAATTTGCTTAATGGCACACCAGAAAGAAACCAGTATTGCCAGAGCAGTACTTCATATATGCCACAGACCAATATGTTCACATGAAATCCCTTACACCTTAATAGCCATAAATCACTAGCCCATACTAAAACTAATGGGTGCATGGTAAAGCTTCTGTTGTTCTGACTTAACAGCCTGACTGAGAGCAGTCACACTTTATTCAAAGTTGTATGAACCAAAACATTGAGCCTTGTAGTCCGATCGGATTTAAGAAAAAGTATGCTTAAATGTACCTTTATTATCTTTTGTGTTGTGTTTGTTGGGCATTTTGTCTGGTTCATTGACACCACAAACGGTATAAGGACAGTAATGTCAGAAAGAGCTAAAAGAGGATAAAAAGCTGCTTACAGCTGGCTGATTATTCTCTGTGGGTTCGTGCAAGCTGTGAGCGACCCCCATTGCATCACATAGTTATATGATTCACTGTTAATGTAAAGCATATTGATTGGCCGAGCTTTAAAGTGTGACATTTTGCTACATGTTGAGTCTTCCACTCAGGCTACAGAAACGTGCTTCCTCTGTCACCCAACCATGCCTCCAAGCAGGGCCGGTTTTTGGTCGCCTAGGGCGCCAGATCTGGGGGGGGGGCGCTGCGCTGGTAGCTCTGGGAGGGAAAAAACATTTTTGACCGTTGGTGCTCATCTTAATTTTCAGCCTTGATGTAACAACATTCATAATTAAGTAAATGTAACACCCTTTTCACCCCGGTTACACGTTTCATTTGCCCTGTACGATGGGCGCTGTAAGTGATGAAAGTGGGGGATGTTGGCTTATCAGGCGCCCGCAGCTCACAGCCAAAGTGCGAGTGAGCGTGGGAGCGAGCGAGGCAGAGAGGGAGAGAGAGAGAGAGGGTGCACCGGTACCAGCGGCGGTGCTGTTGTTATTAGCATCTGGTGCTAGCTGCTCTAAGAAGAAGATGTTTCTACAACAAGGGTGAAGGCTGAGAGGCTCAGAGAGGTAAAGGACTCTCAGTGTTTAGATAGTTAACTTTAGTCTAAGTTATCTCAGTGGGTCTCAAACGTTTTGATCACAATTTATGTAAACAAATATTTCCAAGGCACTCCTTTATCATTATTGGGATAAACAGGTTTTAAATCATTTCAATGTATACTATAGGACAGTAAACCAAAAACATCGTTTAAAACTGGAGAGATTTAAAAATATACATAAATAAATAAATGTTAACTGGTAAAATAAGATATGAATGAACAACACAAATAAAATACGTTACATGTATTTGTTATTGGCTATGGTAGGTTATTGGTTATGTTCACATATTATTTGATTAATAAAATGCAAACCGATATTTTTCATATGGGTGTTTAAAGTTGTACCTCCTAGATCTAGTCTTTAGTAATTGTGTGCTCAAAGTGCACCAGATTGAAATCTCGCCTCGGGCATCAAATTGGAACCGGCCCTGCCTCCAAGCTTGGGACTAATGTAAGCAAATGTTTTTGTCATTGTGGGCGTGGTTGTAGCCAGAGAGCAGGGCTCATTCCAGGGCACAAAAGATTGAAAAGTGGCCTTTTAATAAATCAGATCTCATATTTCTTAGACTGTTGTTCATATAGAGATCTACTGAGGTCTTTTCTGTGTCAGGAATTGCAACAGAAGTGGTTGGTCAATACTTTTCGTTTTTTCGTTTTTATGTATGCTCGTGGTGTGACCACATTATTAAACTGTAAACTTATTTATCCTATAACTTATATATGTGGCTCACACCACAAACAAACTCACATGTAATGAGAGAAACGTCCCTTTTTAATAACAACATATAAACTCTGCTCTTATTTATTTAGATGTGTCTTTCTGAAACATTAGGAATACATTAGCAGGTTATTGGGTGGTTTTCCAAAAACTCTACATCAAAGTATTTCAGCATTTGCTTTAAGCATGCAGAGAAGCATCAATAACCCTGGTAGTTAAACAACAGAACAGCAAAATAAGGTAAAACTGATGTAACATTCAGGCAATTAGTCAAAAACAATGATAACACAACCATCAGCTGCAGCACTGCAGAAAATAATCAGGCACAATCCAGATATCCATACATTTGATTTTATTTAATTTTTGGATATTGGATCACACTGCACGGTTTAACCCTCAATATTGAGTATAAGTGTTTTGACTAATTAGCTGAATACAGCATTTGTGTCATTCAACACAGACAATGCAAGTGAAATAACTTAGCAGAGAGCATGGAAAATTAATCACACCAAACAAGCTGAAGGTTTTAACACAGTTGACTATTTTACTACCGCGAGTGCCAACAGACTACTTGAACAGTTTGAACAAGTTTTGATAATTGTCCAAAACAGCACATTGTTTTTAAATAAATATGACGGACAAAGACCATTTCAACACCATCTGAACAACGCCTACTGCCACGATAACGATCAATCTAAGTTAGCACCAAATTGACTGCCTTGAATCTTGATACACTCTACGAAGAAGAGAGGAAACTCTGTTGTGTCGCTGACATTAAATAGCAGTCTGTGTGCACACACACAGATATTAATCTCCTCAGGGTTAGTGCTGCCATTTAAGAGGATGAGGGAAGATAATAGCCCTTTTGAAAGCTGAATACAAATAGCACAACTTTGGTGGGCATCCAAGTATGATCATTGGTCTACAGAGAACTCAAACTCTTCCTGCAAGTAGAATCCCACACATTGTCTCAGTCATGTTTCATGTGTTGAATGAAAAATCTTATTACCAAAATAGAGATGAAGGATGATAGAAGATCCCATATGATGACTTGCCAAAGGGTTGTGCAGGTAACTTGACTGACAAATGTGTAATTCTCAAACACATCACATACAAATAATGGTAGCATATAAAGTATATAAAGGCACGTATAGACTGTTTTCAAAGGATAGGCACCCATAATCGCACAGTGGTAAACCATTTCCTTTGCTTTATATGAATCTTTAGACGCATGAAAGGGTAACACTACAGTATTTTACCAGAGAAAAGCAAAGATTACAAAAACATTATAAAATCTTAATTTGATGCATCAGAATTGGGCTGTATCTCATTTCTTATGGGACCACATTTGTGTCACAAGCTCTCGAGTCAGTAATGCTTTAATGGTTAGGAAGCACTGGTCCAGGATAAAGTACTGACTGTTATTGACAGCATGAGCTGCACATTGGCATTTTTGGATTTGCAATTCACAAAACCATTGGTAAAGCATGTGCTGAGTGATACTTATCGTGTAGGCCCTGACTGGCTGCAGGGATAATGAAGCACAGTCCACTCAACAAATCAATATTTCAAGGTTTTCTTAGCACAACAGGTGTAACAAGTAACATGTAATGTAATGTAACAGACAGGCAGGTTCCTGAGTTTTGCATTGCTGGCAGATTTAGGGAATTGTGAGATGTGTTTGTGTGGAGACATTCGGGAGTGTACTTTACATGGACTTCAGCGTATAATTTCAAATGTCTGTCCCTTTCCGCTTGACAATAATCTTTCTAGCATCATTTAATTCCAAAATATAATGTATAGACCTCAACATCAGAGAATAATTCATCCAGTTCATTAACAAACACACTTTAACAGTAACAGTACGGATATTTTATGTAATAATAACACATCCTCACTGATATATGCTGTGTGTGTGTCTGTTTGGTTGGGGGTTGGGGGGTAAATCTAAAGAGCCTACAGCTTTAGGCCTCAAAATGCTTTTTCGTTGTCCCAGATAACACACAGCAGTGATGAATCCCAATGCACAGAATTGGACTCAAACCACAAAAAAAGGGTCTTCTAAATCGTCTAAAATCAAGTGCCTTAAACTGAAGGGACTGCAGAGGACATAAATAATATGGAGCTGCCGTACAGAACGCGCTGTTGTTGAATTGCACAGTCTCTGATTGATGCCAATGCTTTATTCTATGTGATCCGTCCACAGCCAACACCTGAACATCCACCCATGATCAGTTCATGTTTACCCTGCAACATGGACATCTGGATTCATTATTGATGCTGTGTTGGTGCCGCTGCATGTGGATATGGTGGGTTTGGCGCACGGGGAGTCGCCTCTGAAAACCCCATCACACACAAATCTGAAAATCTTTTTAACACACACTCGACTCTGAACTGCTTGTATTCACATCTCGAATGAAAGATGTGTAATTTTTGTTTGGCCCCAAAAAAACAACGCCTGAACATGCTTCAGGTGTGCGCTACCCGCAGAAACGAGACTGCGCTGAGCCAATGCAGCGGCAACACACGCCCCTCCGCTCCGCGCTGCCTGCCTGTGAACACACACACACACACACACACACACACACACACACACACNGGAGGGGGGAACGGGGCCGCGTCTACGGGCGTGCGTGCAGCTGGGTAAAATGTTTTTTTAGGTGGGCGCCCTTCGAAGCCTGAAGGCACACATGTAGAATATGAATGAATACAATCACACATCGCTAAGGTGTATATCATGAGCTGTGTTTTTTTCTTGAGAGGGGACACATAGGCCTACACTTGTGGTGGTCTACTTACGCACTGCCTCCTTTTTAGGGTCCAGGGCACTGGCAGTCTGCTGTATCTGGCCTATTTTGTTCTGGAGGACCCAGACCCGCTGATTGGTACTAGTGATGTCGTTTTCCAGCTCCTGAAATAAGGAGCAGGCGTGCCGGGCCAGGTCGGACAGCTGTCGCAAGGTCCGGGACAGAACCACGTTACTGATGGCACACAGGTCCTCCAAAGGCAGACCTTCATCGTTGGGGATCTGGTTCCTGCACAGAAGCTGCGGCTCCACAATCCTTTTGGCGAATGGCATTTTGCACGCCAAAAATAATATGAGTTGTAAGCCAAATGTAAATCCCCACTGCCTAGAAGAAAAAAGGAAAAGGGGGAAACAGACAACATCCAAATATATAAATCCACGAGAAACCCTATGAGGTTCGGGCCGAACGCGCGTTATCCCCGGGCGTCAATCCAAAGTTCCCTGATTCTCCTTGAGATCCTCCATCCTGCTGCTTGTTTCTGGGGATCTCTCACACTCCCGCTCACACACGCACACACATGCACACACATGCAGGACACAGCTAAGCCCAGGTCAGTGGTGTGAGGATGCGTGTTGAGTCTGCGATCATGGGTTGCCTCCGTGCAGCGTCAAACCAGCGAGAACGACAAGGAAACATCGTCCAAAACTTTCAAAATAAAACCTGTGCCCAGTGAAATAATAGACATTGATGGACTGGCAGGCCTGCGGAATTGATAGAAAATACAGAAAACATAGGCATTGATCACATATAAAACAACAACATAGGGAACATCTTGAAAAGGCACACATTTAAATACACAACATGAGTTATATATTTAGTTTGCACGTCTTAAGCTTTTATTTTGTAGTTCTTCCCTTGCTTTTCCGGTGTTATTATGGTTACTTTTCAGGGAATTGATGCAGCCTGTCTCTGTGGCCTGTACAGTTTACAGGCTGAGAGGATGAGAGGGAAGGCTGAGGGAAAACGTGGAGATGTGGACACATGTGGACAGGGAGCGGTCAGGACAATACCTACAGCTACACGTTTCTCCTCATGTCAGAACACACTGACTGAGGAACCTTGTATAACAACAAGAATGTATTCAGACATTCTGACAGTAGAACTGAGGACATAATATGTTCATTCTTATCCATTTTCAATATCAACCATTGGCACGCACATGACAACCCCTCGACCAATGGAGATCCGGTACTGCACAGCACACACTTTGATCTATACATTTAAGTTATAGGAGACAGCCAAGCTCAAATTCAACTTGACAATTGCGAGTATAGTTAATAATGAACATTTCCCACTATATGACAGGATTCAAAAGATACAGTAGATATGGAAACTGTATTTTTTTGTCTGATGGCTTTCTCCCTGGGGACCTCAAAGTCTTTATGCCGGCACAAAAACATACAAATATTTTCCTTTCCTTTGACACTACAATGTTTACCAGTTAATGAGAATTGATCTAAAAAACAACAAAAATAACTATACACTTAAAGTGTTTACCAATCAACTATATCAGCATTTATTTATCCATGGATGCTACTTTTATTCCCATATTATGACCTGAAAATCCACACCCCAGAAATCTATTCTTAATGCATTGTATCTTTGCCTTATGATTCATAATGTTGAAGACAGGCTGGGAGCAATGACACTGAAGAAAATAAAAAATAAAAGACAGATTGGAAACACTTTTGGTTGCAGTCTAAAACTTTAATTGTTATGTCTGACACCTTTACAATACGAGTTGAAAACAAGAATCTGATGTTTGAACCTGTAAGACATTCCTTTGAACCCAATTATCTAAACATTAAATATGGCAGTATGGGGAAAATTATATCTGTTTTTATAGGATTATGATGTTCCTGTCAGATCTGTTTTCTTCACATGTCTCCCACTGGGTTTAAAACAAAGGCTACTTGTAGATGATTATATAAGGAGACAGGACAAAATAATATTGAATGCACCCATTGCAGCGTAAACCAGTAGAATATCATGTTGTTCATCACTGTGCAATCTGTATTATCCTGCTCAAACACTGAGACTTTAAATTGTCAACTTCTCAGAAAAGTTCACGTACAGCAGCAGCATATACTGTAGCCGAACGATGTCCAGTGAACACATTTATTTTTGCTGAATGTGAGTTTCCAGCTTGCTAAGCCTGGCTGTTGTGTGTTTCATTCACTGTGATTATCCTATAGCCTCTAGGCTCAGTCCGTATATAGACGTGTCTGCAGGAAACTTGCTGTTGCAGCAAATTTGAGGCAGCACAAATGAACAGGAACCTGTCATGGGCCTGTTGAAAATGCTCTCTTTTATTTTTGAATGTGGGGGACATTAAATTGCATGTAAGCCTCAAATCTACATAAAGAGTTCGACTGACATTAGAAGCGAAATGCAAATTACTAAATTTACTCAAGTTCTGAACATAACTACAATTTTGAGGCAATTTTACTTTACTTTTTTAAGGGAAAATACCAAATGGATATGTTTTTTATATCAAGATACTGTAGTTTGACATGTCACAGAAGGAAAACACAGTTATATATAATAAAGTAAATTACATTTAGCTGCTGCAGTTTCAGGGCCCTGGTAAAGTGTCTGCTGTTACACTGCGTGACAACTGTGCTTATCACACTGTGACAAGTCAAATGATCTGCTCTGAAAAAGAAGTACAGGTACAACAAAACCAACAAATATGTCAACTATGCACAGTCTGTACACACTCAAACACCATAAGTCGAAATGCCTGTGTGAGTTGATACAAAATACATAACCCAATGTGTGATCACTTTACTATCAAACAGTATTATAAATAGTTAGAATTGGCTCCAAGCAGAACAGCTTCGACAAAAAAAAATGCTGCCTTGCGCATCAGTTGTCGGGATCTACAGTTGTTTTTAGTTTGTTTGCCTATTCTGCCTGTCACATTCAGCCCCTGCATCTGTGTTTAGCTTTACGGCCATTCTTCAACTGTTCACCTCAGACACCTGACTCTCTCATTCACCTGCTCACCTGTTTCCATCGTCCCAGCCCTGTCAGAACCGACATATTCCCCACTCATTTGTCAGGTTGTCATTGTTTCTTTGTTCCCTTGTTTTCCAGCCGCCTGACCCCTGCATCCTGTATGCTGTTACCTTGACCCGCCGGCCTGCCTTTTTCTGCCCCATTCCTGCTACCCTGTGGACTCAACTTGTGTTTGAACATGCCAGTAAGCCTTTGTATGTTCACCCTGTTTCTTGCAGGCATTGTCTGCATTTGTGTAAATGTTGCCTCACACCTGCATGCCATGACAATCAACAATGTATAAAAAATGCCTCACTGACAGCTTAACAAGTACTATTTTCATAAATTAAGTTATACAAATCACTTAACAATGTTTACATTAGGAACATAGCTTCTTGAAACTGTATTTTATACCATGATATTGCTACTTACTTATTTAAGTAAAGCATCTCAGACTGACAAATGTATTAAATTGTTCCTTAAATACAATTAAAAGTTACTTGTACTATGTCACTATTTCCATTTAATGCTGCTTTTTTGCTCAATTATTTTACTGCCCTTTTTACTGCACAACATTAATGTGACCGTTTTTGATTTGGTCACTTAGATATGAACTACATTACTGTAAGGAGAGGATGCTTCACGACAGATGTTTCACAAATTAGACAGACTTGAACAATTGTGAGCTTTGTCCACAGGAAGGTGCTGTTGCACCAAATGAAATCCGGGGAATGTAAAACAGGTGCACTGCCTTTTGAGTGTTTGGCAAAAACAAATCTCAGTTAGGATAGTTGCACCCTAAAAGGACAAATACAAAAATATGCAATAAGAATGAATCCTAATACTAATGAGGGTCAAGCCAATTAATGAAATGATAACCTGAGGCAAGTTTACTGATTGTTTAAATTGTTTTTTGATTGATTTTTATCAGAGAAAGAGAGCATTAAATAATATTTTAGTGTTGTAATGAAATGCCAATAATAAACCTTGCCCCCGTGGCTGATCACATCTTATCAGCATTTAGGGCCTAACAGTGCGTGACTTGCTTTTTATCTGGTGCTGGAAAATCTACTGCCACCAGATAAGAGGATATTTTTTTTTTTTTTTTCGTTAGCTTTCCCCCTCAAAGTTAATGTTTGTTTAGGAAATGACATGTAGCGGAAGCCAGGTGCACATGAGAATACATCTTTCATCCGCATTCTTAAACTAAAAGTAAGTTAGGGATAATAATAACTTGATTTTTATGAATAAACTTTCAATACAAGGCAAAGTCTCAGCCAGTTTATGATTTTTATGAATACAATCTTTCAATACAAGGTAAAGTCTCAGCCAGTTTATGATTTTTATGAATAAACTTTCAATAGAAGGTAAAGTCTCAGCCAGTTTATGATTTTTATGAATAAACTTTCAATACAAGGTAAAGTCTTGCCAAATTATAAAATAAATCAGCATTATTAAACATTTCGAAATCATTAGAAACCGTTTTGTCACTGTTCCTCTGAGACATCCTTCCTGTAAATGAAAACTTGGATACACCCTCAGTTATGGCTCTGCTGTCCAAAGGCCAAGGCAGCGCAGAGAAACTGTATAACAGAGGACAGTGTCCCTCCTTCTCACAGTTAGTTGTGTGATTTCATGGAGTTGAAGAGATGTCTGCTAGGGTTCTTGTAGCGTTGCTGGCTGTGTCCTGCACTGTTTCTGCTCAAACAGCTCTGGAGAACCAGGCCAAGGAGTTCCTGCAGAAGTTTGATGAAGAAGCCACTCAGCGTATGTACCAGTATTCGCTGGCATCATGGGCCTACAACACCAACATCAACAAGGAGAACTCAGACAAACTGGTAAGCATTCAGAGATTGAGTAACCACTAATTGACCAATGCTCACAACAATATTTTGATGCAACTCTTTACATTCTTACCAGTCTGAAGCGGGGCAAGTATGGGGAAAATTCTATGCCAACATGTCAGAGGAGTCCCGGAAATACCCCATCACAGAGATCACAGATGCAACAATCCAATTACAGCTCATCTCTCTACAAGACAGAGGCTCTGGGGCCCTGTCCCCGGACAAAGCTGCACATGTGAGATTATTACAATGTTTCATTTCATTCTGTTAAATATGTTCTCTTCATGTTTTTAAAAGCTGCAAAGACACATGTTCTGGACTGCTTCCTCAGTGCTTCATTACCTAAATATTGTATCCTTGTGTTCTCTTTTTTAAATCTGCTTGTAGTTGAGTAAGGTAATGAGTGAGATGAATACGATCTACAGCACAGCAACAGTGTGTCTGAAGGACGACCCCCTTAACTGCCAGACTTTGGAGCCAGGTACTACTCTGTTAATGAGGAGCGGTTACGCTGACGTGGCTGCCTCCTACTGTCGGCCGAAGTCAGATAAAGCAGTTTATAATTAACAAAGCCAATAAGAAAGGACAAAAAATGTATTAATGTTTTTGAACAGATGTTTTACAACAAGGTCTAACACATTGTAATATGCTTTTTATGCTGTTTAGTTGTTTTATTTATAACAAAAAACACATTAAAATACAGGCTTGAGCGTCAAAAGTAACTGAGTAAATTAATTCAGATGCAATAATTAGGTACTTTACTTCAGTATATTGATTGCATGCTTTTGTGTTCTTACCTATTGCTCATTTCACTCAACTTTATGTATGTGACAGCTATTGGTCATTGTTACTTTTCAGTAAGATTTTACATAATTTATTTTTATTAATGAGCTTTTTAAAATGCAATGCATTTTTAGAGACAAAACTATTTGTCCCCAGTTTTTTTGGCTCCCTCTCATGTGTCAGACATCTGGAAGTTACATATATATATCCGATATTAATAATATAATATATGTAGTAGTACAGATTTATGGGCATATGTTATTTTCTTGGTATGTTTTAACCGTCATCATTAACATCACTGGCTAAACTACCAAACTGTTTAAAAAGTATAGCAGGTCAAACCAGCTCCAATATGAACTGTTGAATCAGTTGTAGATTTGAGTGAGAAACAGACATGTATACATGTACCGTCAGTGATTTGTGTGTTGCTCTGTTCACAGGCCTGGAGCATGTGATGGCCAACAGCAGGGATTACTCTGAGCGTCTGCATGTGTGGGAGGGCTGGAGGAGAGAGGTGGGGAAGAGGATGAGGCCGATGTATGAAGACTATGTGGATCTGAAGAATGAAGCTTCCAAACTAAATGGTGATACATCATAATTTAGGATGTGTAATTTCTCAATGTTTGAATGACATGTGCTGGTTAATTCTGATTTGATAGTTAATGGAGCTTAAAGCAATGCTCTTTCATTAAATCTGGTAGAAAAACCTTGCCTATGGATCTGAATATGGATAAAAGCTAATAAACATACATGACAGGTCCTCTCTGTGGGGGAAACTTCTGTAGCAATGGAGATTCAGGACTCAAAGAGACACGAGGAGAGCTGGAGCTTTGATGTCAAACACTGATGGTTTATTTGGAGCTTCGGCCGGAGAATTCACAAGACAAGTCATAGAGCCACGATCTGACCACAATCAATTCTGAAGAACTCTACCCGAGACCCATGTATTTAGCTAGTTCAGAGAGAATAATCAACATGCTGGATAACAAAATAGAATCATAACACCTCTATCAGCTGACGCCAACAGGCAGGAACAGGGAGACAGAACACTGAGAGCACAGCAGCCAAGGTTGCAGGTGCGTGTGCTCAGTAAGGACCAGGTCAGGACATTATGAACTGATAAACTGGGTCAAAGTTATGGGCCTTGGAAAATATTTCACCAACACTCTCAATAGCTCTTGTTACACAGTTTGTCATACCTCTAACTCATGTAATACCAGCAATGCCACCATGCAAAAGGGATTGGGTTACAACCATCAAAATAAAACTCTACAAAACAACAAAACTCTTTTTATGTAAAGTTTACGTAAACTGAAATATGACTTCTTTTTTTTCCTATTCTTGATCTCTTTCCCCACACTGCTACAGGTTTTCAAGACTACGGATCTTACTGGAGATATAACTATGAGACCATCGAGGAGGACCCTAAGTACAAGTACACCAGGGATCAGCTGATGGGAGATGTCCGTTCTGTATACAAAGAGGTACGCGTCATATTAGAGGATTTGTGTTTCAAAGCTTCTAGAGTAATTTGCAGTTATGGATTGTATGAAGTTATTACCAACGTATAATATTGTTTTTTTCTTAACAGATCATGCCCTTATACAAGGAGCTGCATGCCTATGTGAGATCCAGGCTTATGGAGGTCTACCCAGGACACATTGAGGCAGAAGGACCTCTGCCGGCCCACCTGTTGGGTGTGTTTTTCTTGCTTCCCCAAAAACAAAAAGATAGTATTCAAATAGTAGAATTGTACGAAAGGAGTCAGTTTTAAAGTAGTAGAGCAATTTGCAAAGTCCAACATGCAACAAGAAATCTGTACTGTAACTCAGGTGTGCAGAATAATATTATCAGAAATGACATCAACAAATGACCTTACAGTGAATACAACGTCACGATATAAAGAATACAGCTTCGGAGCTGTACCATTTGATTGTTCATTGAAGTTATAAGTCACAATCTGTTCATTGCTCTATTCAGAACTGCTACTACCACGATGAAAAGTCAGAATGATAGAAATGCCTTATATGTGCAGTTTGAATTTGAAGAGAGGCTGTGATTTTGAGATGGGTAAAGACATAAATCTGATCTTTGTGAAATTGCTACTTAGTGATTTGTTTCTTTGTTCAAAGCTAAGGACACTGGGAAAAGGAAAGAGAAATGCAACAGATGTAACATAATGTATATAGAGAGTTTAGCTGAAACTGCAGGAAGTACTTCTTAGTGTGTACTTAAAGTGAAAACAATAATTGTTGTGTTAATTGTTCAGGTGACATGTGGGGAAGATTCTGGACCAACCTGTACGTTCTGTCAACCCCTTACCCTCACAAAGAAGATATTGATGTCAGCGACACTATGGTGAAAGAGGTGCAGTACAATTACTTAATCAGTAATGATGGTTTATCCAAAAATATATACAAATGCATAGTGATAAAGGTGAAAAAAAACAAGATATTTAAATCCTCTATTGGAAGAGAAACTGTCTCTCACATGTCCATTCGAATTTCAGGGCTGGACTGAGATTCGGCAGTTTAAAGAAGCAGAGAAGTTCTTCATGTCTGTGGGCCTGTACGAGATGTTCCCCAGCTTTTGGAATAAATCCATGCTGTTAAAGCCTACAGATGGAACAAAGGTTGTTTGCCACCCCACAGCCTGGGACATGGGAAACAGAGAGGACTTTAGGTAGGAGAAATCCACAGACATGCACATATACCATCCTCATATACCGTAGTATCAGATAAAGAGCCAAATCTATCACCATCTCTGTTGTTGAAGTGGCTGATTCCAAAAGCTTTTATATGCAGTTACAAAAAACACGAATTGAAAGCGAACACTTAACATTTATCTATATTTAAAGCATAAAACATATTTATCTAAAACACAAACAGCTGTTTTAAAAGATTTACAAGGTTCATTTGCGCTGTGTTTTCAATTACTGGCAATCAGTACATGGGAGCAGTATAAATGAACATGCTGGAAAACTTATGTTGATTAATCTCTTAGTCATTGTTTCTTGCTGATAAAGATAAGCAAAGCTTTATTGTTGTTAATTATTATTCCATATCATTGCCCAAGCACTGACTCGTTCAGAGGTTGGAAAGTTTGTAGCACCAAAGCAACGTATACAATATATTTACAAAAAAAGGCTTCAGGCTCGTAAAGTCTCGGTTTGGATTGAAATGGCTCAATATCTTAAACACTTTTGGATTCAGTTTGTTGCACCTGACTCCTCACACATGCAGTGCACAGGTTGTTTTATTGACTCTATATCTGATATGGCATCATGCTAACTGCTGACATGAACATATTTCGTTGCAATATCTTCAGGATCAAAATGTGCAGCAAGATCAACATGGACGACTTCCTGACAGTGCACCACGAGATGGGTCACAACCAGTACCAGATGGCTTACCGTAACCTGTCCTACCTCCTGAGGGACGGGGCCAACGAGGGCTTCCATGAGGCGGTCGGAGAGATCATGTCCCTCTCTGCTGCGACGCCCAAACACCTGATGGGCCTCCATCTCCTGCCTGCTAACTTTACTTATGATAATGGTACCGTACATTACATTGACAATTATCAAACCATATAAATAGTTGTCCTCCAAAACATTAAAACTGCTATATTCAGTACTTTTAAAATAACACAGGATATAAGGTGACTATGGGCCCTTGTGTGTTGAATCTGAATAAGGTCCAGATTCTGAGACACAGACATATGTGTCTGTCGCTCTGATCAGTTGTTCAGCTACACTAACAGTTAAGTTAGTGTTAGCTAACAGCTGTCCATAACCAAATTTAAAGATATGAATAAATCTTGTTTATGAGTTATGAGCCAGACAAAAGTTATAACATCTTCATAGGCTCTCAGTTACGCTGCTCCTTAACCCCTACAGAACATTCTGTAGATAAACGGCTATCCACAAATAGGTGGTTAAAATAATCTGGTAACTTTTGAGTAACCCAGTCTTGTAACAACACTGTTAATGCAAGTATTTAGTGTGGCCAAAAGCTATGAAAGTCACCAAACTGCAGAAACAATATGAAATTGTTTCTTGGAGGTGGCAAACACATAGACAATTCATAAAGAATCACAGCAGGTATGAATAATGTGTTCCTGGGTGCTGCCCTCAAGTGGCATGCAATTAAAATAGCTTCAGCACCGTTGGGCCACCATGACAGAGTCGTCACACCCTGATTCACCTGTTTACTGGGGCGAAACCAGATAATAAAGCATAACATGACCTTGGGCTCTCTGCTAACTTTTATACAAACTGTCATCTACTTACAGTGCCTAACATAGGTGTCATAAACAGCATATCAGACGCAGAGGGGTAACACACTGAAGTGTTTTCAAAATTAGAATTGTGATAAATGCCCTTTCTAAAGTTCAGAGCTGAGGTTATTGACTTGACATGCAACTTTCTAACCATTTTCTCTCTGTATATTATACATTTTTCCTGTTTTTTGCCTTGCAGAAACAGAGATTAACTTCCTGCTGAAACAGGCGCTCACCATCGTGGCCACGCTGCCGTTCACCTACATGCTGGAGGAATGGAGGTGGCAGGTGTTTGCAGGGAACATCACCAAGGATAATTGGATGAAGCGCTTCTGGGAGATGAAGTAAGCACAGACTTTCATGCAGCTTCTTTAAATATTCCAGGTAATTATGCAGTCAGTGAAAATTCACAGGTCTGATATGATTACAATCAAACATAGTAATGCTATTAACACACTGCAGGCAAGCATTGTTGCTTTCCTGCAGGTCTGAGGTTACATCATCAGTCTGTATGCGTGCTGACTCTGTTCCCATGACAGGAGGGAGCTTGTGGGGGTGGTGGAGCCAGTGCCGAGGGACGAGACCTACTGTGACCCCCCTGCTCTGTTCCATGTTTCCGGAGACTATTCTTTCATCAGGTAAAGATGTTAGTCTTCACGTCAAGACAAGTAAAGGCAACACCTGGATTTATTTCCAAATCAGCTTTTGAGGCTACTGTTTTCAGTGGGATCGGTTTGTTCTTTTAAACTTATTTTCAATTAAATTTGATGCAAAGGTACACCTTATCCCAAGGAACAGAGCCCTTTCTGAACATCTTATATCCCTAACATTTCAAAATCAAGAACGTTTCCTCTTTTATCGGATAAACATACTGCCCTTATTAGTTGTCTATACGGTTCAGTTCTTCCCAAAATATTACCTATACGAGTCTGGACCACTCACATTGCCACTATCATTGGCACAGCAACCAAAGCTGGAGGGCAGAGAGTGAACAACAAAGGCTAAACCTTCAGTAGAGTAAAACGTCCGTTGGCTGCATAAGCAAAAGGAAGTACCTTAGGAAATAGTATGTTGGTATCCTTTTTGTATAACGTTTAGGAATGTAAAAACTGGGTCCAGGTTGAAAACATGACCTGTCTCTGTGTGTGTGTGTCTGGTCGTGAATACAGGTACTTCACAAGGACCATCTACCAGTTTCAGTTCCAAAAAGCGCTCTGCCAGGAGGCCGGTCACACAGGACCTTTGTCTACATGTGACATCACCGATTCTAAAGTAGCAGGAACCAAACTGAGGTACAGACTTAATGTATTTGGTTGATTGTCCATATAACAGTTTGAAATCAAATAAGAGATCATTTCATATTTCAGTTTTTGCTGTAGCACATTACGTCATTGTGGTAAACATGTAGTAATACAGTCGTCATTTATGTTCCTCACTGTTTTCTGTTAGGAATATGTTAGAGCTGGGAAGATCCAAGTCCTGGACCAGGGCTTTGGATACGATCTCCGGGGACGCTAAGATGGACGTCCGCCCCCTGTTGGACTATTTCCAACCTCTCCATGACTGGCTGAAGGTAGAGAACAAGAAAACCAACAGGAATGTAGGCTGGAAGACACTAATAGACCCTTGTGAGTACAACATTTTCAAGAGTATTACCACTAAATTAAACTAAATGAATTTGAAAAAGGTATATGTACTTAACATTTTAAATAATATTTGTATTAACTTTTATTTAAAAAAAATGAATACCAGTATTATGTCTGTATGGTTATACAGTAGTGCCACCGCCACCAGCTGGTTAGCTTAGCTTCACACATGGACTGAGAGCAGTTAGCCTGGCTATGTAGCAGCATATAAATCACGTATTAACGCATTATATATTATTTGTTTATCTTGGACTGAAAGGGAAAAAAAAGTTGTCGTTTTAAGAGATATTATTCTTCTTACTCAGTAATTCACCATGTCTTCACAAATGTTTTCCAGGCAACCAAAGCATGTTTTTTTTTTTTACTTTTATACATACCACTATATAGTCTTAATGGGTGAGTTTCAGTTTTGTTTTATTAATTTCCCAAAATGCCAAACTATTACACCTCTCTTCTTGTTTGCTTGGTTTCCTGCACATCAAATTAATCTGTCAAATCATGTTTATGAGCATTTAAGTCCTCACTTAACACAGTTAATTGAATACTTTTGGATAGCTTCTTGAGAGGCCTATATACTGTATGCGTGGACAAACTATCACCCCATCATTACATTATAACTGTGACTAAGAGAGGAACTTTTTGAAGAAGTAGAAAAAACACAAACTTAAGTCACTGCTGTTTTCATGACATATATTGGCATGACCAAACCACAGTAAAATGACTAAAATGCCCGTTTCCTGAGAGAACTGTGTGATTGCAGCAACTCCATTGTTCATGACTAATAAGCAATAATTCTTGTAATGAATCAATGCCCTAAGAACTGAAATAATTGAAATGTTAACTTTGGCGCTGTCACTGTCTGTTCATGTGACCAGACATTGGTAGCTATTTCATGATGCCTTCAAGGGCTATGGCAGTTTAAGTGAATTAATCTATGGCAACCATATTTTGCAAAAATGAATAAATAATACGTTAAAATAACCTTTTGATTCTTTTTTGTAACAGATTCAGGGAATGCAATCAAAGTGAGGCTGAGCTTGAAGGCTGCTATGGGTGATAACGCTGTGAGTATCATTAATCATTATCAGAAGTGTTATTATTACAGGATAAGGGTTACAATGTCTTGCTACACGTGATGTGAAGGTTGTCCCTTTGAACTTCAGTCAGTTTTATCAAAATACTCAACTATAATGTGTTTCAGGTTCTGAAATCTTTACATTGGCTTCCAGTCGGCCAAAGAATCGATTTTAAAGTATTATTGCTAGTTTTTAAATCATTACATGGTTTAGGACCAAAGTATATTGTTGAACTCCTACATAATTACGAGCCATCAAGGTGCCTCAGGTCTTCTGGGACGGGTCTGCTATCGGTTCGGAGACTAAAAACAAAACATGGAGAGGCAGCATTTAGCTTTTATGCCTCGACACTCTGGAACAAACTACCCAAATCATGCACGTTCGCAGAAACGCTTACTATTTTTAAATTGAGACTAAAAACATATATCTTTGCCGCTGCTTTTAATTGAGCTGCTCATATTCGCACTACATTATGCCTTTTAAACGTATTGTATACCTCTGGTGTTTATTTGTATTATTTTATTATATTTCCTTTGTAATGCCTGTTGTAAAATGCCATTATATAATGTGTTTTTTACTGTATTTATTCTTAAAAAGTATTTTAATTTGTTTTGTAAAGCACTTTGAATTGTCGCGTACTGAAAAGTGCTATATAAATAAACTTGCCTTGCCTTCAGTATTCCTGGAACAACAATGAGCTGTACCTGTTCAAGGCCAGTGTTGCGTACGCTTTGAGGCAGTACTACAGCCAAAAGAACCAGACCCTTCAATTCACGTCAGTATCATCCTGGGACCATGAAATATGAAAACACTCTATGCTATGTTCTGTTTTAAACTGACATTGGTTTGTTGCCACATTTTTTGAGTGGGTTTTCTTGTTTTTTTGCCTGCAGAGCAGAGAATGTCCTCACGTATCAAGAGACTCCCAGGGTCTCCTTCTACATTGTGGTCACCGATCCAGCAACTCCCACCACATACATCCCCAAGGCTGATGTGGAGGCTGCCATACAGTGAGGCATTCAACACACACACATGTATTTTGATAACATACTGTATTTGATTGCAACATACTTGGTTTGTTTTACCTGAATGTGTCAAGGACTAAGAAGCTGTAATAGTCAGTCAATTTACATGTACTGTGATTCATTTTCAGTCACGCTTGTTCTGGGGATCGCAATCTTTGTGTGTTCTACTTTTGTCCAGACTGAAATATCTGATCAACTGTTTGATTGAATTATTTCGTTATCCTGTCATGCACCCATGGTGACCGACCCTCACGAGTCAAAAAAACAGTAACAGTGGTCAAGCATCCAATTTCATACCAGAACACTTTAGTTTTGTCTCAAACTAAATACTCTGCCTTCCCTCCAAAGCCTAGCAGATAAAATCTACCAATAAAAGGCTCATTCAAGGCTCAAAAAAGCACAACTCATATTATTCAAAGTCATCCAGATAAAATCTCAACAAACATGTAGGTCAATTTACTAAAAAAGTACATTCGATATGTTCTTGTAGACAGAAGAGTAAAACCAAAGGTGAAGCTCATTCTGAATTTCACCTCACTTACACAGCAAACAAAGCAGAGCTGTTTGCATCCAACTAAAGGGTAAAGGTTGAATAGCTTCCTGCTGAAATGGATCAACTCAGTGTGTCCTTTCTCCAGAATCAGTTAAAATGAAGGAGCAATAATAAACCTATTTCGATATTGATCCCAGGTTAAGTCGAGGCCGAATCAACGATGCCTTCCAATTGGATGACAAGACGCTAGAGTTTGTGGGTATCCTAGCAACACTGGCCCCTCCCGTGGAGCAGCCAGTGACGGTGTGGCTGGTTGTGTTCGGGGTTGTCATGGGAGTGGTGGTGCTCGCAGGCGTCTACCTCGTCGTCTCTGGTGTCATGGAGCGCAAAAAGTGAGTGTTAGATTCCAAACTGTGACCCATTCCTACCATTTTTTCTACCAATATACCTTTTTTGTACGTATCTTGTCTTGATCTGTAAAGCATGAAAAGTGCTATATAAATAACGTTTATTAAAAACTTCATTAATAACTGTGAGACATGTTGTGCTTCTGGTGTGTTTGTAGGAAATCTACAAAGACAGACAGCGCGGAGAATCCCTACGAACACGATGGACAAACTAACAAAGCTTTTGAAGAACATGAAGATGAACAAACTGGACTCTGAATCTGATGATAATCAGAGGGAAGTCCTTAATGCTCTAAATAAAGATCAAATAACTACTACAATATGCATTTTAAATATACTTCCATGTGAATGTACATATTGTTATATTCATGTATTTTGATGCATGAATATTATACTTATTGTATAAACAATATATAGGCCTAACAAGTCCAACCTAACAACGCTTAAATAATTTTGGCTGTGGAATAAACCTTTATGCAATAATGATTGACATTTATCTTGTCTTTTGGACAAAATAATGTATATTAAATAAACTGCAGTATCATGCATTTCAAATTCATGGTGGTTTATAGGAAAATAATAATTGTTTTGTATTTGTTTTAAATATTTTATATTCTGCAAAATGCTTTAATGGTCAGACATGTTTTAAATAATGTTTGATGCGTTTGCTTGTCTTAAAATAACACATTTAAGTATCTTATCTTCCAAACATTGGTGGTTAGGGTTTTAACACTTTTATTGTTGTAAGATGCATAAAATACAAGGGTTTACCAGTGTATTCCAAATATCAAAGTATAATAATCCATGTCGTACATCTTAAAGTGTTACTAATAAATTATAAAAGAGTAAGCATTTTCCAAATATCATTTGTATCCAGTATATACACATAATTATACAGTACATATACCATGTTTATAGTTTATATATTTTTTTTAAATGTTGCTCATCCCTCGATGATGTATATTTTAAAGTGTTGAACAAATAAAGTTACTATCACTTCATCTTGATACTCAAAATACATTTTTTGACAAAGTTACAGCCCCTTCACAAAAGATATTCATATTTATAAAAAAGTAAGTAAAAAACCCATACAAAAAACCCAAAACACGTTTTATCAGATGTAGTTGTATGATGCATATCTACACACTTCTGCAATAGCAGAATTTGACACAGTGACAATTTGTCACCGGACAAAAAAAAATCTCCCCTCATGTTTCCCTGTCGTTTATGAAAAAGTCACAAATAGAAATCTTAATTTTAAATAGTAAACTTGTCTGAAACTGAGAATACTCTGATAAGAAAGTGATTATTCATCACTTCTGATTTGTCTGGATGACAAAGAGGAACTGTTCTTCTTCCATCCCTCCATCCATGGTGGCCATCTCCACTGAGTTGGTGGTGTTGATCTGAATAAACCAGCCGCCGTGCAGCGCTGACTCAAACCTCCGCTGTCTCGTGTGGTCGGCCCTCATGTAGAAGAGGAAGGACAGAGTAGTCTCGTCATTCATGGAGATCTTCTTCAGCTTCTTCTTCTCGCACATCTAAAACAACAAGAGACGTCAGAGAGCATCACTGTTCAACATCCTGGTAGTGAGAAGATATCTATGCTTGCAAGTATCACAACCGTTCACAGCATAAAAGCATTTATTATGATTACTTATGTATAAAGTATGTGTAAAGGCCAAAACAAATAAAAAGAAGCTGACAAAGGGCCATATATATCACAACATTCAAGTTAATGATCAATGCTCTCGAATTAGTCAAGAGAAAAAAAGAAACAAAGATATCAATAGCAAATCTTGATTATTAAAAGTAGATTACTGGCCCATAACACAAATGTTCATTGTGTGACATTTGAGACAATTACGATTCCAACAAAGCACAAGTTCAAAAAAGTGAACCCAAGTCCGAGACCTGACTTAATTACTACAGTTCCTAAACCATTTCTGAGGCCCATGTCCCATTTAGGAACGATTGGTGGCAGCACCTGTTAGAGAGTAACATTTGTGTGAAAAAGCCAAAATGAACAGTACAAATGGGTTGAGGGCTGTTTTCACCACATTTCCTGAACTTGAATTAATCTATTTACAGTGTGTCGCATTCCAATGAAAGAAACTCTAATCTGACACTTCTGAAATGTTTTCCTCTGCTGTGTATAGAAAAGCAGTCAACATCTGAAACAAGTTGATCATCGACAGAAACACCACTGGCATTTTAAAATGTAACTTACACACAATGTCTACAATGTTTTAAAGATGGATTGTCATTATTTAATGCATTCGTGGTCTCAGATGAAGAATTCTTATAATTGATTGAATGATCCCGGACATTTGCAAAACTCAAACTGTAGGGAAGATAAATGTCTGAACCAAATTTCAATGGCAATCCATCTCAAATATTATTGATAAAATTCCCTCAAAACCACACAAGTTAGCCCGGTGGTGGCACTAGAGGAAAAGTCAGATGACCACCGAGTTATCTGGGACGTAACTGCCAAACTTCATGGTAATCAATATAGCAGTTAGTTCTGGAAAGTGAACCTGTTCAGCCTAAGTCTCTAGTTATTACCTCCACTTGTAGGAAGACGCGCTCTGCTTCCTTGTAGCACCTGAGGAAGCAGTTGGACTTGCTAAAGTTTAGGACCACTGGCATTCCTCTGTCAATGAGGCTGGTCGACTTGTAGAGGTAGATGGTCATCTCCTCTGAAATAAAAACAAACATTAAGAAATGAAAAACCCATCTTTGATTACTGTAAATGTTTGTTGCTGCATGCTTCCCAAAATGGCAAACCTGGATTTGGTGAAGCAAAGAGTCTCTGCGAACAGAGACGCTTGAGGTAACGGTGAGAGGGCACATGTTCGATGGCAGTGTTCAAAGACTTCAGCTGTCGGAAAGTTCCCCCTCCTCTTGAAACTGAGAGTTACACAGAGAACAATCAAACAAAGAGTGTCTAGTCTATAATTCATACCCCTTTTACAAGTAAAAAAGAACAAGCGTGATTAATTCCTCTCTCATAATTGTATCTTCATAAATAATAGTATTCAGTATTATTTATTAACAGTTCTACTAATAGAAGGGGGTTTGCACTGCACATAAGAGATCTAACGTTGCTTTTTGATCAGATGTACGGACCTAATAATACATATTTTACATTTAACGTTTATAATCCTTTCTCCGAAATGATACAAGAGGATATTTGGAGATCAATGGATGTCACTTCACTGTAAAATGTATTTTTAATCATATCTCTCTTAACAAATATTGATCTCAGTGAGACTATTTGTAGAAATATATATTTGAAAGTAAATAGTAGGGAAGGTCAGAGACTAAAACATACGTACCAAGCACGACCTTGCTGGATTCTGACACCATAACAACATCATTAAAGGTACACCCTGTGCCATGACATCCCTGACAGGGGCTTCCAGAGTCGCAGCCCCTCCCTCTCACCACAGAGATGCTGGTTTTCTTCATGGAAATTATGAGCAGATCCTCCCCCTCTCCATACTCCTGGTTTTCAGCTCCACAAACATCTTCCTCTAAACCCCCGTCCTCCTTCCCCCCCTCCTGCTTCACTCCATTCTCTTCCAAGTCTTCCTCCCTCCTCATCTCCATGCTGAAACTGAATATTGTAGATTCCTTGGACACTGGATGTAAAGTATCCTCAGACGGTAAGGACATGTCATTCTGCTCCTTCTTCTTGCCGGCTTTGTGCACCGTCTGAACACCAGAGGAAGTCAAGACCGTCAGACTAAGAACTAACTTTGTGTCAGAACTCCCCCTTAAAACACCTCAATGGACAGCTACCGTACAATGTGTGTTTTAACTCTACCTAAAATGTAGATTGGACGATGTCATGTCATGTTGATATTTTTTAAGTGCAGTTTAAGCTCATGCAATATACAAACTTTGTCACCATTTAATGTAAACATCTGTTAATGTCATGGGAGCTAAGTTAGCCTACACTTGTATGTCCATTCATCCCACTTATTAACAGGATAACAAAACAGGGATACTGTTTTGTAGAGACTCAACAGGATTATTTTTGAATAGGAATTCTGACAACCACATATTATCGGTTTGAGAAAACGAATAATATATAATGACAGTTTATCATTTGGTGAATTTCTCGCTTAAAATAATCACCAAAAATGGACTGCAAAGTATGTCCAAAGCGGCAATGTTCAGTTATCTCCGACTATGAGAATAGAGAGGGAAGTTCGTGGACTCACCAGCATCGGAGTATCTTTAGCCAATGTTTGTGCCAACTCCTCGGGTGTGAAATCCTGCAGGTCCATGCCGTTTACCTGCATCAGTTTGTCTCCTCTCCTGAGAAAAACAGAAAACATATGAGACTTATACTAAAAGGTTTTAGTTCAATATGGTCTGCCAAAGTTGGAACAGTTTTAGTCATTTCACATTGTCATCGTCAATCTTTCTTGTTTTTCTAGTTTTTCTAGTTTTTTTGGGAGGAACCGGACTTAGTTGTGAAAGACTTGGTTTGTACATCATCTTATGGAGAGATACCTTAAAATAACTCTGGATCAAATATTTTGAAATGTTTCCCGAGGCTTTAATAAAGAGTCACTTGACTATTATGTCTGACATGTGAGACCTGAATTGTTTTGTCAGAACAGCAGTCTAAAGTTATACAAATATTGAAGTCACTATCGTACATGAGAAAGAAAAACAGGAAATCACATTTTAGGATGTGAGAGCAGCCAGTATTTGAGATTTCGGTATATTAAATGGTTCAATGTTTAATTAAATAAATATTTGAACCCTTTTAACAATTAATTGTCTGATTATCTTCCTTTAACATTACATGTTACTTGTTAGACGCTTTTATCCAAAGCGACTTCAGCACCGTGGGCAATCCCCTCAGGAGCAATTTGGGGTGAAGTGTCTTACCCAGGGACACAACGACATGCTGACTGCAGTGGGACTCGAACTTGCTATCCCCTGATTCAAACTTCAGCGTACGAAGTTCAGTGCACTATTCCACTGAGCCACAGCCTTCACCATGACCATAACAAATACTTGTTTAATTTTACTTTGTTTAATCATTGTATTTTATTGTACACTTTACTGGGAAGAGCTCTGTGGTCTGGGCCCGATAGTGCTTTTCTTAATAAAAAAAATGAAATTCTTATTTGCTAGTACAAAACAAACATTTAAAAACTGTATTCTCAATACCTGACAAACGCCTTTTCTCCACTCCCTTTTTTGTACTTCATCACATTTTCGACTTCATACTGGTGCTTCCCTTCATGGATCTGGTGGACGATCAGCACGCCTCCCTTAACTTGAGGATCCTATCATTCAGGAATATATGAACAAAAGCAAAATCACCAGAAATACAAAGTCATATATTTCAAAATATATCTCACATATAGCAATGTTGACTAATATGATATGTTGTGTCACCCACCTTCACATCCATGGTGCTGACAGTGTCCGCTGCTAAAAAGACTGAATCCGACCCCGCTAACAGTGCCGGCCTTTTAAATCCTGAAGTGTGTTTGAGCTTCTGCTTTGCATAAGCAGAAGTGGAAGGAGGACTGAGAGGTGATGCATGTGGAACTGATGCCAGAAGAGGAAGTGAATGGAGATTAGTACATTTTCAATCCAAAAGGGGGACATGGTTTATGATTTTCTTAAGAAAAGAGAACTTTCTGATTTCATCAGTTGAAGCTTTTCATTTTAGTGTTTATACAACAATTCATGCCAGCACTGTTTTTGTTATTTTACTGGATGTTCACTTCCTTAGCAAAATTGTTTAAACCCTAAACAGAGGGAAGAGGAAATAACAACCATCAGTTTATTCAAGCTATGTCACATTAGATATGGGAATTACTGGAAAAATATGACTTCCTCTGTGAAAGTTAATATCTCTGTAGTGGATATACAAGTATAGTAGGGTGGTTCTTTAATGAAGTAGAAACAGAAGTGAGAATTAACGCTTCTTCACAAATTGTAATGGTAATATCACATTTTGACCACACTTTAATTTATTAAAAAGTAAATATAGTAAACAATTAATACTTTTTAAACTTTTATATTTGTATTAGCTTAAATGTTCTGCTTGGTAAGAGTGCACCTATCTAGTATATGTGGTTTCTGTCAAACATTTAGCAGTGAAAGAAGTTTTCAGATCCTTAACTATTGTGGTAATAACTAAAGTTAGCACAAACACTGTACAAGATGGAAACAGCTAGCCTGGCTCTGCCAAAAGATAACAACATCTGTGGCCTCTACCAACTCACCTATAAAAACACTAGATGTTATGTGTACAATAGCCCCATTTCCAGGGTTCATAAGTTAGACTATTTATTTGCTAGCAAGAGGAACTTCCTTGTTGACACATTCAGGATATTACATTACATGTCATTTGTTAGACGCTTTTATCCAAAGCGACTTACATACATTCAGTACTGGGCAATCCCCACAGGAGCCATTTGGGGTGAAGTGTCATGCCCAGGTACACAACAACATGCTGACTGCAGTTGATATAAGTCAACCAGTGGAGACTCTAGGCCTAAAAAACGTTTTCATTATTGGGGTGAGTTGTGTCACACACAAACAAACACACACTCTGAAGCTATTTCAAGCTTTTCCCTGTTGAGCCAGTGAAGTCGAGCTAAATCTGTAGGAGCGGAGGTGGATTGAGTTACATGAGAAGCACATGCTACTATCGCAAAGTTTCAGGATCACCACCGTCCACTGCAACACGATTTCTCTCAGAAGCTGGCACAAGTTGATAATCCAAACTTAAAGTAGGTACTCTGATGCCCTAAAACGTGTACCTGATATTCTGCTTGATGTCTGACTGCTGAGAAAAAACATTGTTAACAGCTGAAGGTGATGAGTAATGTTGACCTCTGTGGTGAATTTCACTTGTTTTAATACGTTATTTGAGTATGAGATAACTTATGATTAAAAGCATGTAATGCATTCATTAACAAACTATTTAAAGTTACCAGATGAAGCTTGGCATTGCTGTTGGAATTTATATTGTTGTGTTTTGAGTTTTAGGAGCAATTCATAGAGAGTTCAAAAGTGTCTTAAGCTTTGGTCAATGTGTATATTTTATAGAAACTAGAATGTCAGCAGTTATCTGAAGCACATACAAACTGATTACTAATGTTTATTGTTCATTACGAATTAAAATAAAATAATATGAAAAAGAAACATCTATTGTATTACTTCGATTGATTATTATGGGGCTCCCTTAAGGTGGGGTGGTGTAATATTTGAAAGAGTTTGCATCTGAGTTGTGGAATGCACACTGCAGGTGACCTGATACATCAAAGTAAACTACCATTGAGTGAAAGTGAAATGTTACCGTTTAAGGAACTGACTCTGGTTTCAAAATAGGCTATGAAAGTACTACAATTTTCCCATTCTTGTTTATACGGGACATCTAACACATATTGTGGGTTTGTGTGTGTGTTTCAGATGGTGATACTCGATGTCTTAATAATAGGGGGTGGCCCTCATGCCTTGACCCTTGCCACCTTGCTATCCCACCCTGACCCTGATACAAAATCAGACCCTGGACATGTCTCACCCCTCTCCATCTCCCTCTCGGACCCTGAGAGGGCTCAGACAAACTCAGAGACATCCAACAACAAACGCTGCAGAGGCAAGAAGAAGAAGAAGAAGAGGTCAACAGCAGGTAACTGCTTGACCTCACTTACTAAATCCTATCAGATACAATTTTATATTATGAGATCAAGTTTCTGAATTAAGAAGATTCACTGCTCTTCGTCCCACAATACAGTACACGGAATGTTTTTTTTACTTTGTGTACACATTTTTGTCAGTCAGTCATTCTCTCTTATGTTGTTGTAATATTTATAATTTATTTTAGTTTTTCATAATTTTGACTAATTATTTCCTCCAGTCATCATTTTAAATGTAAGTTCCAATCATAAGTATTGGTATGATACCTAAATGTTAACTGGCTGAGTGTAAAACAAATAGTTTTGAATTAACCTGAGATTCAGAACAAATTGTCATTTTTTCACTTCTTTCATTCATTAAAATTGAATCATAGTCGTCAGCTGTTGAATCTGAGGTCTGGAACCAGAAACCAGGTTACCTTACAAATAAAACACAAAATAAATGAATCACCTATTGTTACTGTAACTACTCTACTTCTGCATTTTAACTTGCATGAAATTAACAAAGGTAAAACACACTTCTGCTTCCCTTTTTGCTCTCTAAGGGGCTTCCCTATTAAGTTCATATGTCCTTTGGCAGGCCTGACATTTGAGGAGTGCCTAGCAAAGTCAACACCAGGGAGGGCCGAATGCCCCCCGCTGAGTCTCAGAGTGGTAGATTCCTATGGGGAGTGGACCACTCTGTGGGAGAGCCAATTCACAACTCTGAACATCGCTCACCTGCGCTCACACACACTGGTGCACACAGACCCTCTCAATAAGGTATACACACTATCAACTTACCCTGAAGTAAAACAAGGAAAGTGCGTCTACAGTATGAGAATTAATACATATGTGTGTGTTGTTGTTGTTTTTTGTCAGAAAGCACTGCAGGAGTTTGTTTTAAAGTTGGACCGTTCAGCAGAGCTTCACAGTCTTCCAGACCAAGTTTATATTCTGGATGAAAATGCATTTTTTAATGATATGAGGCTCGGCAAGAAGGAGAGGAAACGTCTCAACATCGCCTCAACACTCAAAAAGAGTTTGTCCTTCAGTCTGCCAGGAACCAAACTAAGTGTGGATTTCTTTAAAGATCAGGTTAGCAACACAGAGTATTTGTGTGTGTTCTGCATGCAATGTTTAATGTTAACATGTTTCTTTATTGAATAAAAGCAATCCCAAAAGCATGCATACTGTAGCTGTATCTTTGTTGTTTAGAATTTGCTTTATGCTTGTTTGTAGTTTCTCTTAACTAATTTGGAAATCTTGAGTAAAAACAAAGGGGATTGTGGCTGAATACAATGCTCAGGAGAAAGTTTTGAGGGATGGACTGGTTTGGGTCACAGCATGAGCACCTACATCTGATAATTGCTATTTTCTGAATTGTTAAGTGGGTGGTTGTGAACCTGCAGGTGGAAAGATACAACTTGGACAAAGTGCTGGTGAAAGGAACAGTGGAGTACATCAGCCCTCTGCTGGATGACGAGGAAAAGGGGGAAGAAGAGACCGAGTGGATGAAACAGGGTGATGACATAAGAGTGACCGAGAGGAAAAAAGTAAAATATTTTGTAGTCAAACTTCAAGAAGGCATCAAACTTAAAGCCCGCCAGGTCGTTATGGCTACAGGTCCAACCCGCGCCCAGATGGCAAACATCCCTTCATGGGTGAAAAACATCGGAGAGAGCTACCCAGAGGAGCGTCTGCAACACACTGTGCACCTGATGCACCACCTGTCATCTGCTAAGCAAAAACTTAAAGATGATGAGAGACAGAATGAGGCTTTTCACTCTCAAGGTAAGTCAGCTCTCTTCTGAGGGTTATGCAACATTACAATAATACAGAAAAGCTTTGCAGGGAAACAATGTTTTAGCATTTAGGATTCAGTAATACATTGCTTTCACCTGAGGTTACCATGCTTCTACCATGTTTCATTTCATATTTGATCCCCAGTCTCTGCTGCAACACTTTCCTTTACAAGTACTGTGTGTGTGTCTAGAATTGTGTGTAGTGTGTGAGGCAGGGCAGAGAGTAATGGTAGTTGGTGGAGGTCTGACCAGCGCTCATGTCGTCTCAATTGCCCTGCAGCAAGGTGCCAGCCATGTGACATGGGTTATGAGGAAGCACCTCCAGGTCTAGTGACAGTGTGAAACTGCATGTAGAACAACTACAACTGAAAATATACCTGACTTCCTCCAGCACAGGTATCAGTCTTGATTATGTATTCCGCAGTTGAAGCAGTTTGATGTGGGCGATGTGGAGAGCTTGGTGGGCCGTTACTCCCACGTGGAGCACGGCATCAAGATGGACGGCCAGGCGTACCTGAGGCAGTTCTATAATGAACGCAGTCTCCACAAACGGCTGGCTATGATTCTCCGGGCAAGAAAAGGAGGGGCCGTTACCCCCGAGGCCTATATCCACCTACAGCCGTTCATCCTGAGTGGACAGGTGGACGTGAAGACTTACTGTCAGGTAAAGGTGCATCCCAAAGGGTGTAAGATTAAAGGTGTAGTGAATTTGAGAAGGTAAGGTGAGGTTAATGGAGGGTTTTTACCTGAATCTCATGTAACTTTCCAGGTGAGTGAAGCCAGCTGGTGCTACAGGAGCCAGGCGTGGTGTCTGTCCCTCAGCACCGGGGCCCACTGGTCTGGAGATATGATCTGGCTAGCCACCGGCTGCAAACTTGATGTCAAACAGGACCCGCTGCTTTCTGAGGTGATGAAGGAATTCCCCGTTCAGGTAGGTTGGGCAATCAAATGTGTATGTAATGTACGTTTAGGATCAAAATACAATTACAAAATGATTAAAATGACTTAAAGGATGGCAACATACGAGCGATGTACAGTTGCAAGAAAAAGTATGTGAACCCTTTGGAACTACCTGGATTTCTGCATAAATTGGTCATAAAATGTGTTCTGATCTTCATCTAAGTCACAACAATAGACAAACACAGTCTGCTTAAGCTAAAACCACACAAACAATTATATGTTTTTATGTTTTTATTGAACACACCATGTAAACATTCACAGTGCATGGTGAACCCTTGGATTTAATAACTGGTTGACCCTCCTTTGGCAGCAATAACCTCAACCAAACGTTTCCTATAGTTGCATATCAGACCTGCACAACGGTCAGGAGGAATTTTGGACCATTCCTCTTTACAAAACTGTTTCAGTTCAGCAATATTCTTGGGATGTCTGGTGTGAATCGCTCTCTTGAGGTCATGCCACAGCATCTCAATTGGGTTGAGGTCAGGACTCTGACTGGGCCACTCCAGAAGGCGTATTTTCTTCTGTTGAAGCCATTCTGTTGTTGATTTACTTCTGTGCTTTGGGTCGTTGTCCTGTTGCATCACCCATCTTCTGTTGAGCTTCAATTGGTGGACAGATGGCCTTAAGTTCTCCAGCAAAATGTCTTGATAAACTTGAGAATTCATTTTTCCGTCGATGATGGCAATCTGTCCAGGCCCTGAGGCAGCAAAGCAGCCCCAAACCATGATGCTCCCTGAGATGACGACAAGTGAGGACAAATCTTCATCTCCAGAGCTCTGTCCACGATACGACGTGTGTGTGTGTGTGTGTGCGTGTGCGTGCGCGTGCGTGTGCGTGTGCGTGTGTGCGTGTGTGTGTGTGTGACTCTGTATTTGCATCAACACAGCATTTCACTTCCTTCGCAGTATCTGATTTGGCTCCAGCATTCCTCAGAATTTTGGAAACAATTGCATTTCTCTTTTGTTTTTCTCTCTCCATCCATCCGTCCGTTTCTCTCTTATCCCGCTCTCTCTTCAACTTCTCACACTTCCTCCCTTTTCCTTATTTTTGTCTTCCTTTTTCCCCCTTGATGTACCAGCTCAGCTGACACACATGGGCGACCAAGCAGAACACACTTGTATATAGCGAAGCCTAGCAAGGGTGTGTGTGTGTGTGTGTGTGTGTGTGTGTGTGTGTGTGTGTGTGTGTGTGTGTGTTTGTGTTTGCCCTGGAGTGAGTAGTGAAACTACTGCTAAACTAGCTCAATTTGTCAAGAGCGGAGAGGTGTGGGCCTTGAGGACCGCTGTGCCGCTGTCTTCAAGGTAAACAGAGGAGTGTGGATTTAAAGGAAAACAAAAAGAAATTCAAGGATTAAATTCCCATACACACACACGCACGCACACACACACACGCGCGTGCGCGCACACACACACACGCACGCACGCACACACACGCGCGTCCACACACACACCCACGCGCACGAACACACACACAAACTTGTGTTCTTTTATACAGCCTTACTGGAACAAACACCAGGAGGAAAATATACTTCATCAATGTCACTCCTTCAGTGTGTGTTGAATTTGACAAAGAGCGGTTAAGACCCCAATGTTGACTGAGCATTTTATGCATGTGTCTGTGTGTGTGTGTGTGTGTGTGTGTGTGTGTGTGTGTGTGTGTGTGTGTGTGTGTGTGTGTGTGTGTGTGTGTGTGTGTGTGTGTGTGTGTGTGTGTGTGTTTGTGTGTGTGTGAGAGTGTGAGAGTGTGTGTGTGCGTAAACAAGAGGCCCCCCACCTCGACGAGGCAACATATCATTATTAAAGGGGCAGAACGTATAAATTATCAGCTGCTAGCCCCAATGAACTAAATAAAGAAAACAATGTCACGGCGCGGTCACAGTTCGAACGTCTACGGAACCAATGATAAATGTCTCTGTCTCTCTTTGTCGCTGCTCACCTCCTCTGGACTGTTACCACGGTGATTAATTCTGGGGCGCAGAGAGAGAGGGAGGCATATTTTAGACAGCCTTGCTTCCAAAACCACAAGCTTATCACACCTACACACACATACAACCAACCTCCTACCACACACACAAATATTAATTCATGCACACGCTAAGTTATAGGTGGGTGTCAGTGGTGAGGGATGATGTTCAGAAAGTGTGTGTGTGTGTGTGTGTGTGTGTGTGTGTGTGTGTGTGTGTGTGTGTGTGTGTGTGTGTGTGTGTGTGTGTGTGTGTGTTAACATTTGTTTTTCCTCCGGTAAGTTTTTGAGGGGATAGCAAATTAACGAAAAGCAATTAAAACACAGAAGAGGCGTGAATTATTCATTTGTGCCGTTGAGATAATAAGAAATGCAAAAGGAGTAAAAGCGAACGTGTTTTTTTAAAGTTATTAATTATTCTCTATCTGACGCTGTAGCTTTCACACTCAAGTGTTGAGGGGAAGTTTTCATTCCATTTCCTTTTTGCAGTCATTCATCTCGGGCCTTTTTGTTCAACTTCAAACTTACTTCAGCTGGCCTTGAATTGGATAAAAGCTGGGACTGGTGTTATCATTGGCAGAATCAGATTAATGAGATTGTAAAGATCAAAAGACAGGTTCATTCAAGATAAATTCAATGATTTTCAGCCAGGTTTTTTTGTAGCCAACACCAGGGCTTATTTGAGTATCACACATTTCATTTCATCCCAGGAGGGTATCTACAATGTATTATTTGCTTTAAAGTGGACAGTTAAAATATTACTTCATGCCATTTTCCAGATTCATTGATGTTCCAAAGGTTGGCCATTACATTTTTCTGGAAAATTATCACAAATACAGTATGTAGTTTATAGAATAGTAGTAGTATTGCCTTTTGTAAAAAAACAGCATGTATCTTTTGACCAGGGCTACTTTTATGGCCTAGAAATAAAGGGGAATGCTTGGAATTTAGCATTGCTCTCCCACAAAGGTTGGGCCTCACAAGCAACTTAAGCAAAAATAAAAAGGTTAATTGAAAAGCATAGGCTTATAAAAGCATATCAAAAACACTAAACCCCTTTTAAACGGTGGGGAGCACATACTGTAATCTGCCTGCTGATGTTACAGTTGATTTATGTAGCATTGAATTTAAATAAAAGAAAAAGTAAATTGTTGAGAAAATCTGTTGAGCTAACTAGGCAGTTAGCCATTCAAAAGGAAAACAAAGTATAATGGCTTATTCTTGATCAACCATATGGATAATTGTATATAACATATAAAGATAGCTAAACAACATTAAATAATTCACAGGAAAAGTGGTCATAAGCTAAAAGCTAAGCTAGCAAACATGCTATGTTCAAGTTACAGTTACTCTATCTGGGGCCGTTAATACATTACATGTTAGACACTTTTATCCAAAGTGACTTACATACTCAATACTGTGGACAATCCCCACAGGAGCAATTTGGGGTGAAGTGTCTCAGGGACACAACGACATGCTGACTGCAGTGGGGTTTGAACCTGTTCTGAACACCAACACACTAGTACACTACACCACACGCCTCCCTACATGATTCCTTTGTTCTACAACTGTTCTCCTACTGTTCTCTCCCCTTGTCTTCTTCTCTTTCTTGTCTTGGGAACAGAAAGAGCAGTGGACAGTCAGATGAATGACCTCGGCCTCTAACACACTCTGTCTTCCTCTTTATGTCTATCTGTGATAGCCTTATAGCCAGGAGACACATAGGAAGACCTCTGGAAAAGGAGAGCAGCACTCACATATGTGTTGGACTGTCAGTCCTCCTGCTGGGCTGTCATTCATCTCCACTTTGGCACATTTGTCACAACTATTGACAACAACAAGTGACTTCCTTTAGCATATAGGCAGAAATGTCAGACTGGTGGAGTAGCTTTAGCGTATTAGCACAGGTGGTAAAAACACAACAAATGTGCATGTAGATACTGAAACATGCACGCCTTTCCTATGTCTGCGCATCTGCCTGCGCTTGTGTCTGCTTATGTGAGTGTCTGTCGCCCTAGTCGGATGTGTAATTACAAAGGAGAGACGATAAGCCAGTTTTTTTCTCTCCTCTCCTGTGGGAGCTCACAGCTAATTATAGAGCCAGCGGAGCTTCAAATTGCCATTTAAAACAGCCATACGGTGGGAGACAATAACACACTCCCCTGGTGGTGTCACCGCTGTGTAGTAAGTGTGTCTGCACGAAAGTATCACAGAAGAGATATGGCAATGGAAGCAGCAACAGTAGGGAGAAAAAAGCCTGCAGCCCTGTTAGCTGAAAATGACTGATTCCAGGAACAGGAAGTGGACTGTAGACTGTCCCTGTTAGTAGACTGAAGCTAACGGTGTGTAGACAGCTTTAGGGGAAGATTAAGAAGTGACAGGTTAACGTGTGGAGTGAGGTAAACATTATTAAAGGGGAACATTTATTTATTAGTTTTTATTTAGTCATCTAATGTGGGCAAATAGCTATAACTCCATTATAAGTAATCAGAGAGAGAATTATTCTCCTAAAGGTAAATGCTGTTCCCAAATTGGGGTTGAATAAGATACTTATCCATAGTAAGTGTATGACCTACAGTGGATGGCGGCTAAACACCAACAGTTTGAAGAATCTAACTAAAAAGTGCTGCCGAAGGGGGCAGCAACATGGTGTATTTAAGCAACCTAAACAATCGATATCCTTCACAAAACGTGCACAGTATGGAAAACATTCTCCACTTTAAATATCTGTCTGTGTATCTGTCTTTCCAAGAGGAAACTGAAGATGTTACCTTTACTCACTCAAAAAACCTCCATTGACAAAAACAGTATTTTCTTAACATAGGGTGTCCCTGGTCTACCGTTGCCTTGATCAGTTAGTCTACTGTATGTAATACTCACTGTGTGAAGACCTCCTAAAACCCCACTTCAAAACATCCAAAGTGTCCCTTTAACTACAGAGTACTCAAAATAAACTCCCAAGTCACTCATCTGAGGACAATCTCTAGCTCTTAGGCAAGATTGAAAACAGAGGAAGAGAGAAGAGCTAGAGGAAAGGAGGGGGATGGAGAGAAGAAGGATGCTGAGAGTTTGGGGTAGAGTGAGGGGGAAAAGATGGAGGGAGAGATAAGAGAGAATTAACGGAAAGAAAGAGGGAGGAAGGCTAAAGAGAGGACAAGGAGGGATTGTGTGGCCTGCGGTGGAATGTGCTTTGAGTGAACGATCAGTGGCAACACACACACACACACACACACACACACACACACGCAACAATCTGTCTGACTCTGGTCATGCTTTACTTACACAGGAATCCCACTGTCTCTCACTTGCTCTCTCTGTCATACACACACACGCGTGCGCACACACACACACACACACACACGCGTGCGCACACACACACACACACACACACACACACACACACACACACACACACACACACACAAAACTAAAGTGACCTTGCAATAATAGACGCAATCCTCATGACTTTAAACACACTTACCTTTGTTCTAACACATACATGTACAGTACACGCACATACATACACACACAAACACACATTGGTATTCTACTAGTATTCAAATGAGTATAGTGGGAGAGGGGATATGTAAGAAAATGTGATCATGGTAGACATGTGTGTGCACTGTATGTGTGTATGTGCAATCTTTACTGGTGTGTTTCCTGACAATACTCCCTCAGGTTTACATGGGCCGTAACTCATGTGTAAATTAATTACCAGCATGGGTGGGTGTGTGTGTGTGTGTGTGTGTGTGTGTGTGTGTGTGTGTGTGTGTGTGTGTGTGTGTGTGTGAAATAAGGAGGTCTGGATGAGCACCTGTGTGTGTGTGTGTCACCTTTTTTAATAATGTGCTGTCAATCTGGGCTCTGGGAATGGCCATTTTACTAACCCTCCCTAGATCTCATAACACGGATCCTCTGGGAGGCAGAATAAGTCATCAGCCGGTGGCCCAGAGTCCTCCAGCACCACAGAGGGAAGAAATCACAGCGGATGCAATAAGGGGACAGAGCAGGATAAAACGTAGGCTTACAAATGAATGCCGGAACGCTCCAACTTATAGCCCTGCCTCTCTTCACCCTGCTGTTTGAGCTGATGTATGGCAGGCAAACTGGAGACGATAACAAGAATGGGCCGACGGTGATTGTTTTTATGCTAACGTGATTGCTATTGATCGTAGCTTAGTTCGTGACTTCAGTGCCACTAAACTTCTTAATGTAAGGAGACATTTTCTTTTTTTTCACCACTTGAGAAGAGTTTGGGATCCAAATAAACTAACAGCAAACGTTTGGGTGTAAGATAGAGAACCTTTATAAAAAGAGGGAACCGAGATATTGCCAAATATTGCTGGTTAAAAGCTTTGGATTCCTTCTTTTATTTGAGGCAAGTTTATCAGGAAAGCGCAATATCTCAAAGGAAGGGCCGCCTGCAAGACATTTTTATGTTCTTATCTATATACTCAGGAGTGCTATGAGTTTGATTCAGCACACTCTCTAACGGCACAATACATTTGTAAATTGCTCGTTTTAACTTCATGAAACATAAGTGTTCATGAGTAGGTGCGCTTTTGGGAGATAAAGTCATTAGCATCAGGGTTCCACTCTGTTTTTGGAACATTTGTACATGCAGGCTAATTGCTTACATTAATATGAACATGTTTCTAGGTCATGTCTTGTTTTTATTCTAGAAAGAAAAACCCTATTTTTACCTAAACCTTTAAAATGTCAAGAAGTTATAAGATGAAACACTCTTCAGAAATATGCACACTCAGCACAGTCCATAGTTAAATCAGCATGGTAACTGTTTTCTTTGGTTAATGTGAATACTTGAGATCATTTGAATGATAGAGCTGGCAGTTCATCCTTAAGTACAGATGAAACAAACTTGTAATTGACAGTTAAAGTGCACTAAAGCCCTTACCCTGCACACTCAGTTTGCACATATGGAGGGAGAGGGCGTGCAGTCTTTTCACTCACTGCTGTGGGTTTTATTTTAAAAGGATAGGAAGACAGTAACAGAGTGAAGTCAGACACAGGGCATCTGCTGAACCCTGTAACGCTCACATATGCAATAATCCTACTGCACCTGCTGTACACTACAACATGCGTAATACATTATCCATCCACCCATCTTCTCCCGCTTATCCGTGGTCGGGTCGCGGGGGTAGCAGTTCCAGCAGAGAGCCCCAAACTTTCTTGCGTAATACATTAGTTATAGCATATTGCTGATATGGAGCAGGGTGTTCCCTTATATTTGACTGCTTCAGTTCAAGCTTTTGTAATAATAATTTGTTACAGTTTTGATATAATTAGTAGTTATTGTAATTGTGTAATTTCTTGGTCCAATATCTGCTCTTGATATTATTTTATGTCAAAATAGCTCTGTTTGATTAGTCTAAACCACAGCAAAGGACAACAGATACAAATATCCTGTACTTTATAAAACGGACAAGTCATCATCATCATCATCATCATCATCATCATCATCATCATCATCATCATCATCATCATCATCTTTATTCAAAGAGACTCTTGGTCCATTATTACAATACATACAACACTCAAATATAAACTAAAAAAGGCAGTTATACCAGTGTTTCCACAGAGGTGACTTGTATCGTACAGCACTGAGACACGGATTTGACAGTAGCATAATGACAGAGTTATGAGAAACTTTCAATCGACAGATGAATTTGTACATCAGATTTCTCAAAAGAGCATGGAACGTGTTGACTCGTGCATTACAAAACATTTCACTTGCACTGCACCACCTTGGTTTTCTAAGCAGTATACGCAAACAGTCATAATATATAATATATATGTAAGTAAATGGTAAATGGACTGTACTTATATAGCGCTTTATCCAGTCTTTAAGACCCCTCAAAGCGCTTTACATACTACATGTCATTCACCCATTCACACAGAGCAGTGTACCTACTGTAACTCTAGGACCTAACATTCACACACATTCACACACCGTTGGCCATGCCATCGGGAGCAACTCAGGGTTAAGTATCTTGCCCAAGGATACATCGACATGTAGACTGCATGGGCTGGGATCGAACCCACAACCTTCTGGTTGAAAGACGACCACACTCCCTCACAGCCTTTATTGAACACACCATGTAAACATTCACAGTGCAGGGTGGAAAAAGTATGTGAACCCTTGGATTTAATAACTGGTTGACCCTCCTTTGGCAGCAATAACCTCAACCAAACGTTTCCTATAGTTGCATATCAGACCTGCACAACGGTCAGGAGGAATTTTGGACCATTCCTCTTTACAAAACTGTTTCAGTTCAGCAATATTCTTGGGATGTCTGGTGTGAATCGCTCTCAATTGAGGGTTGAGGTCAGGACTCTGACTGGGCCACTCCAGAAGGCGTATTTTCTTCTGTTGAAGCCATTCTGTTGTTGATTTGCTTCTGTGCTTTGGGTCGTTGTCCTGTTGCATCACCCATCTTCTGTTGAGCTTCAATTGGTGGACAGATGGCCTTAAGTTCTCCAGCAAAATGTCTTGATAAACTTGAGAATTCATTTTTCCGTCGATGATGGCAATCTGTCCAGGCCCTGAGGCAGCAAAGCAGCCCCAAACCATGATGCTCCCTCCACCATACTTCACAGTTGGGATGAGGTTGTGATGTTGGTGTGCTGTGCCTTTTTTTCTCCACATATAGCGTTGTGTGTTCCTTCCAAACAACTCAACTTTGGTTTCATCTGTCCACAGAATATTTAACATCCAGGTGCTCTTTTGCAAACTTCAAACGTGCAGCAATGTTTTTTCTGGACAGCAGTGGCTTCCTCCATTTTATGACCAACTTATGCAGAAATTCAGGTAATTCCAAAGGGTTCACATACTTTTTCTTGCAACTGTATGTATGTATTAATGAGGTCATTTTCCATGGTGTAAACTTAACAAGGCGACATTAATAGATGCATTAATTGTTTCGGGTTTGTTTGTCCTCTCATGAAGGTGATAGACGGTTGGCCGTGCATATCAGAAAGCTTAAAGTGGACTGAAGGCTGCCCGCTCTACCTGATGGGGCAGTACACTGCTCTTCAGGTTGGTCTTCAACAGAGAGTTTTGGCGATCAAAAATAGTGTCACCAATCAATCAATCCCAATGTTTTACAATGTGTTTTCCTCTGTACAGGTTGGACCACATGCAGTAAACCTTGCCGGTGGTCAGGCTGCAAGCATTCGAATCGCCAAAGACATCATGCGGGGTCAGAAAGAGCACCATGCTGATGCTTCTGAACTGAGTGGGGAGAAATCAAAAACTGAAGAATATATCCAACAGATGCAGGGCCTATTATGGCTTTAGTGTTAGACCAAAGAATATTAAAACAATTCTTTAATGATGCTGTAAAACTGACTTTGTTTTTGGGAACTATCACACCATTCAAATAAACACATGTTCATCTTTAATGGCTGAATCCAAATTATTTAACATTAATTTGAGTTACATTTACAAAATCTATATAGCGTGTTGTGTTTCTCATCCATCTGTTATATTAGCGTTCACAATATAGCAAAACTATTTATTTTTTCTTAGCCAATAGGGCTTTGTATGTTATTCATATTAAGTCAGTGGGAATTGTGATTATGGGGGCAATACAATTCAAATTGACTCGGAGATTTAGACATGTCGAGGATTGTTTGTTAAAATAAGTAAACGTCGGTGTTTTGTAAAGACTGATGTTCTGATGGACATTATTATAAGCTTCTTACCTTTCGCCCCATGTGGAAACATATTTAGCCACGCCCCCTACCAGTCTGTCTTCCGCATTGTAAGCCTACCTGAGGGAGTGCAGTCACTCACAACAACTGAGATTCCGCCATTAAAACCCACACAGTAAAACAACCAGAACAGTGTTGTGTTCTTACTTTAAGGTAGGTGGCTGAGTTTGCATTATATAACTTTAACGTTACGTTGGCAGGAATGTTAAAACATGATGATGGTGGTGCTCGTGGAGATTCATAACAAAAGGCTTACGGTTATATAATGCATAAAGATATAAGCAAATAAAATGCCGCAAATAAAAGGCATCACGCATTAGAAAATACATCTTTAATTTTTAAGAAGTAGGCTATGGACTCGGGACTACAGTTACTACAACAGCAGCAGTCAGACGACTTTCTTTGAGATCAAAGCTGTTTCAGCCGAAGATCCTATCAGTGCAAAGGATCGGAGGTAACGAAGATGGATATGCACGTATACAAATCCGGGAAATATTTCTGAAATGAATGTAGGGAACGTTTTGCAGCAGCAGATCTGAGATCAGCTGACTGCTGCTGTCAGGTCGGCTGGTCTATAGCTCTGAGCTCATTTGCCAATAAGAGTAACTTCTATTAACACTGGGAAACCCCTGTGCTTGCATAACATTTCCTGTTATTTTGTCATCAACTTTGTCATGACTTTGCAGTATTTGATTTTGGGGAATTTTGCTTTTGACAGTTGCTGTTCTCATTCTGCTTTGTATCACAAACTTGTCAAAAGCAATAATATCAGAATATGTAACGTTATCTCTAATCAAATGTCTTCAAAACAGTTTCAAGATGTTTTGAAGACATTTGATAAATTGTATTGCCTCTTCTTCAAAATGATAAAGAAAAGCTTGTGGACAAGAACAAATCTGTACTTTTGCCTCAAAACAACCCTTTTATTGTGTCCATGAATTCCTTTTATTCTCATTGTATCCTTTTTTTATTGAAATTCTCATATTTTATGATTTTGCAGTGACTAGTGGTTCATTCTCCCAGCACAATGGATGTCAGGAGAGTGGAAAAGACAGTTTTGAGTGTGGAACAGTCAGAGGGAGTCGGTGCTTGTGTCCGCAGGAGCATTGGTAGAAAAGAGGTATTTTTTTTATGAAGGTCCATCTGTAAACCTAACATCTATTACATTTGTCTCCATCCATTGAGAGGTATCCTCAGTTGCTATCCAAATGTGTGATATTGGGTTATATAAATACAAATTAACTTGACATGTAGGCAGGGGCTCCGCCAGGGATTTTGGGTCCCATGAAAAGATAATCACATTGGTTACTTTGGTTGGTTAAAATTGTTTGGGCCCCTGTCAGTCATGGGCCCTTAGAATCATCCTAACTTTTCACCCCCTTACGGCGCCCCTGCATGTAGGCCTAAGTGTAAATTCACAGTCAAACCTTTCTGCTAAAGATTCATCACACTAGCCATTATCGCAATTGAAATTATACTATACAGATTTTGTTTCAGCTGAGGAACCTGGATCCTTTTCTGATGTTGGATGAGTTCAGAGTGAGCAAGCCGGCAGGTTTTCCAGACCATCCTCACAGAGGATTTGAGACGGTAAGAAGACAATACAGACATTAACTAGAGAAATATAAGAAAACATATAGAAAACGTATAATAACAGCTAAAACCATTACTACATTAATCAATTGAGAGAAAGGAAGGAAGCCTTTTTTGTTGATAATTGATCTAAATTATAAGTTAGCCTTATGTTACCAAGGTTTCTTGAGGGGCTCTGCCTTAGCAAAAGTGAGGGTCTTAGAATAGATGTTGTTTTATGATTTTAAGATGTTAAAGCCCTCTTGATGGTAGCAAAAACAGTAAACATTTCCAAGTTTCAGCTTCTTAACTGAATGAATTTGCTCCTGAGAATACAACCGTCACAAAAGAGAATCTAACTAAGTGGGACTTTCCAATAAAGCACAACTTTGTCCTTTTACCTCAAAATAAAAATAAATAAGAGAATTATACTTAACCCTAAAACAAAAGGAGGAGCATAAGAACAGGAGCACAGGACCAACTGAGGCTGAGGAGTGAAGTTCCTACTTTGATCACTAGATGGCGACAACAGAACAGAGCCCAGGAAGCCACAGTCCTGTTAAGCCCCAAGCCTGTTTTTCAGGTCTCAGGCTCGAAAATGACTTTCTCAGAACAAATGACTATATCTTTACTTCTAAAAGGGGTACATTAATAATCTTTTTTCTCAAAGCAATGATGAACCTGTGAGTTGGATGTAGAAAACTCAGAATCAATAGAATTTTTTTTATTTTAAAGTAAATTCAGATTGAACATAGTAAAAAAATATTACTTATAGTGAAAACCACCCTTGAATGATGCGATGGTAGACTAAAAGCGTTAGGAATACAAACGTACCCTACCCTGTATCAAGATTGATGCAAAACAAGTGACATTTTACCTTTTTTTAGAGAGGTTTAGCAAAAGAAAACCCACTTCGGGGGTCATTTGGGTGGATTTGCCATATGGCCCCCCTCGGTCATGCCATTGAACACAACTATTGATCAGAAAAACTGTAAAGGTAAGACATATTTGCCGTTTTGTCTCAGTAAAGCTACGTTGTGTGTTGTCTTGGTTTGCATTCGCCGCCTGAGTTTTGGTTGCACACTGATGATACTTATACTTCTAGAATATGTGGAATCTCAGCTTTAATCAGATATCTTGTTTGTGCAGATCCGATAAGTAATAAAGTATTTCTACCGGGAGTTCTGTGCTAAGTGCGTTAGAATTTTTTCGCTCAGGGCTAATTCAGAGGATTGGTATTATCCGTGTGTTTCGTTTTGCTAAAAATGGTTCATATCGTCAGTTAGCTGAGTTTCTTCCCGTTAAGTGTGTATGACACATTAATAGCTTGTTAAATGTTAAGAAGCCCTGAGACACAGTTTCGTGAAAAAAGGCCCGTAGCCCGGGGGCTATGGGGCTTCACAGGTTAATCCAATAACACACCTGCTGAGGGACAGGGGCAACCACCTAATCTGTATTCAAATAGTTGTTAGTGTGGCCCTTTATGAGTTGGGTTTATATATTTCATTAAAAAATTGCCAGAAATACTAAGTACTGCTAAGTTTCCATGAGCCCAATTTGAGCCCAGAAAGCTTTGGGTTACATATTTTAATCATCAACTTTTAGCTTTATTTTTATTTCATGCCAGATTCAAGAATGTGTTGGGAAATTAATTGTTATTATGTCTATGACAGGAAAGTAATTATTGTAGCTGGATACAAGTTCTGAATGTGAGATTTGTTTTAGTGTTGGTTGTTCATTTATTTTCTTGTTAGTTGAATCAACAATTTTAAGACATTATTTGATATCACTATTTGTATTTAACAGACTTATTTGTCAATTCATAATTACAATTAAAACCATCATCTAACATGGAAAATGTTCACATATTTAAAAAGTAAAAAAGCTGATTTTACCTGACTTCTTAGAATGAACTTTTCTTCAAGCTAACCTAATCACTGTCCAGATGCTGTTCTCTGTCATAAAACCACATATTACCAGAATCTGCCTTCATGTTAACCGCAGTGAAGTTTGTTTTGTTTTGGCTTTGATATTCAGATCAAGCAGCGTCTTCTTCCTCAGTTTCTCTGTCTGCAGACAGAGGACGGGTCGCTCAGATCCATGCCCTCACTCTAAACCACAGGGTTTCACTTCCGGAACTTCAATTAATGACTGCTTGAATGACACAACCCCAATGGTAGCTATTTAAAAAGCTATTAACAAGTTACTGCCCTTGTGTGGTACACTTTTATTTTATTCAGATGTGTCATGATTTTACAAAACTATTTTATGATAAGATAATTGAAGTTCATGTCATGTTTCAGAGCAACATTAAATCAATGCAGCATTGAGTAACTAAGCTGTATTAGTAGGACACATCTTCTTTTTTGTTGGATATTTGTCCACCTTTTAATTTGATTTTAAAAAGGATCTGCAGTTTGGAAAACTCTTGTATTTTTCAAATAGCTTTTATATCACGTGACCCAGTGTCTCCAAATTAATCTAGCATAGTATTATACTGGATAAGTATGGTACACATTTTATTAGATTTTGGGGCACCTTTTATTTTACATAAATATTGGAAAACAAAAGGATTAGGATGAAGTAATCCAATTTGACTGGTGACAGCTTCACTGTTGTGATTCATCACCTTCATTCACTGGCAGCTATTTTTGGCAAAACATACTCTATAACAAACATACAACATTTAGCAGCTAAAGATCAATATATTTCCTTCAGGATTTGGTGTGAGCAAAGTGAAGTGAGAAATTACTTTAATGAATAATAATTTAGTCAAAGTTCTGAGGCCCTGCCAAATCAATTATTGCTGCTTTTACCAATTGTAAAAATTGATTTTGAACATTGGTTTATGCGTTAAGTTATTATAATGATCTAGATTTAGAGTTAGAAAATATTTTATTAAATTACTTTTTAATTTTGGGCACTAAAAGAATGGAAAGCATAACAACTTGCTCCTATTCTGACTTCCACTCCACTAGCCTCTCTGTGAACCATGTAGGGATAAGGTTGTTTTTGAAAATAGCTCGTTAATACATTTATCACTTTTTAAGCGTATGCTGTTTATTAAATGAACCACACACAACCCTGTTTTACAAATTATAGTTTATCTCTGTACT